AATAATAAAAATCAACTGCTAATCCTCATGAGGTCACGACTCACAAGTTAGTCAAAATATTCTGGAGAAGCTTTAGAATCCGTTCCAAAAAGTAAAAACAGGCAAAATAGATGCAAAATGACCTTGTAGTGGGAACAAGCATTAAACATGCAGAAACACCTCACAGAATAAAATAACACCTGATTTTGCTCCATTTTATCTTTCCTACAAACTCGTCCTCTCTGCAGACATTGTGTGGAACACTGTCACCTTATTCTGATGTCGCTGTTCTTCTTTTTCTTCTTCTTGTTGACATCGCCGGGATGTGGCACGTTGTCATCCTCGTGAAGAGGGTCTTCTTTTTCACACTCATTAATGTCATCTTCACTGAGGTTATTGTCTGAGGAGAAGTAGTGTTAAAAGAACAATAAGAGAAAACACATAGAAAACGAAAGAAGCTTTTTCAGCAGGCAGGACAGTGGGATTAACGAACTCTCAACTCTGACCAATAACATCAGAATTGTTTAGCTTTGCTTATTATTATTGCTTTCCAATAATTTGTGCAACGTGTAGTATGTTCAGCTATGGTACAGTCAGTTTAGTTTATGTAATGTTAATTTTTTGTGTGCAATTTTGTACTTTGCATATATGTGCAACAGATTTTTATGGTGTGCAAAATTACATTATTATGTGCAATATTGCTTTACTACTTCAGTATTACTGCCAGTTCTACATCTTACCTAATAAAGTTCTGTCTTAAATAATATAGAGCCTAGCGCATGTATTGTTCGGATATGCTCCTAAAATTACTACTACCTTTCACTACTACCATAACAGTGTTACATTTCCTGTATTTGTTTGATCATTTATGTGTATGTATATATGTGTATATATACATAAAGTATATATACTTCTTTAACACTTATTTTATTTTACTATTTTTTAAATTTCATTCACTGATTTATTTTCTTTCTTCATTGAACCTGGAGGTTGGTACAAAATACATGTCAGTGCACATCGTACCGTGTATGAATGTGTATGTGATAAATAAAGTTGATCTTATCTTAATCATCCAAACCCTGCCTGCAACATTCCCTGCAGTAAGATGTGACAGTGCTCACCTGATGGGACGTAGTCTGCGTCTTCATTCGACGAATATCCATCAGAGTCGTAGTCAGAGTAGTTCATCGTGTTTCGAGCCGCTTCGCGAACGAGTCGCTGAAAGGACAAAAAAAACGAGCAGCAGAACCTCCTCTGTTCCTCCTACTCCTTCACTGCTCCCCCCACTTTACAAATCCAACCCTCACTGGCTACAAATGCTTGCTTATTAAGAACACACGTTCAGAATGCTCTATTTTTTAATTGTGTTAGCGGATGCCAGCATATTCAGGGTTGCGGTGCGGAAATAAACAAAAAAAACACACAGCGTCACTTCCGGTTACGGCGAAGTGGAAGGTTCAAGTCGACTGCGCGCTGCTCTTCTATTGTTTTGTGTTGATGTCCAAACGATGTTAGGATTCTTTAGCGCCGCCTACCGGCCTGGAGTGGAGGCCGGAGCCCGCCTCGTTCAGGCCAAAGATTTCAAAGAAAAGGAATTGTTCTGCCAGAATTTAAATACCAGTGACAATAAGTTAGAACTTTTGTCCGAGGCCAATAAATTCGAAAATACTTGGCAGTAGTCACAGTGTTTTAAAATAACATCAAAACAAATTACAACATAATATCTAACATTTATGTTGCTGTTAAATAGCAGTAACATCAAAGTTAAAAATAATAATAATAATTTAAAAAAAAAATCTTATGCATAAGTGCCAAGTTTATGTCGACCAAATGCCTTTTGAGGTTGGGCAGGAGGAGCATCTTTACCAGGTCAGAATGGAAAATGTCCCTTTTCTGGATTTTATATTTAAGTTTCTAATAACAAAGTTGTTAGACAAGTAAAGATTTTCAGTAAAAAGTAAAGGTCTTTAAACGGCTCGATTGGAAGACATTAAACCAAGTTAATGCACTTTTTCACCAAGTTTGCATTCTAATTGCAGAGAAGGGGAGGTTTCATCTCTGAAAATGTAGCTGATAAAATAAAATAGATATGTTAGATACCAACTGCACTAACAGTGCACTTTTCCAAAACAACATAAAATGGTAATCAATATGCCCGCTGCTAAAAGCATATGAAGTGCTACTGTACCCTCAAGGGCTGTGCTAAAATCTAGCCCACAAAAGGCAATTCATGCAGTCTGTTTCTTCTGATTTATTTCAAATAGATCTTAGCCAGCAAATGTCTGTGGTTATTTAAGTAAACAGCTACGCTACACTATACAAACACACAAGACAATAGCAAGTGACCTTGCCAAGAAAAGATGCTCCGATAACATTTCAAAGGCAGAGGAGAGGTACTGATTAGATACAAGATCCACGGAGGAAGGTTTTCAACGTCAAAGCAGGATCCTTAGGAATGATATGCCAAAATTTCAATTCTTACCCATACATTTTATTGGCCTAAGCATTTTAGTTATCTTGCTCAAGGTCATCATTCATGACCTAGTAATACAGATTCAGATTCAGATTCAGATTCAGATTTGTTTATTGTCATTGTAACAAGTACAACGAAACAAAGGTGCAGTCCTTTCAGTGCAAAAATATAAGAACTTGGAACAATAGAAACTTTGTAAAAAACTTTGTAAACACTATATATAATAAACAAGCAAAAAGAAATGAACTCTATATACAGGATGAACTGAAAGAGAAAGCAAAGGGAAAGGAAATAGCAGCTGAGATGGTGCATTTAAAGCAATATTGTTTTTTCATCACCTCATATGGGACTAAAGCTTTTCAAATAATACAAGTCTAACAACTAGAATACATGCAGTGTAGGCAAACGGACTGAAGTACTGATCAATAAGTGATTTATTGTTATTAAAGAGCCAAAAGGCAGTTCCACAGACATTTGGTGGACTGTGCAGAAATGTCTTATGACCAACAGAGGGTGCTTTTTGGTCAAATTGTCCCTGAGCCTGAAGAACCAGTGGAGCATTTCAAGACTGGAGGGAGACACTACCACACACAGAACAGAGTTTTGAACAGGAGTTAAACTGGGATGTGAGTGGAGAGGAGCCCATGTCAAGTGACCTCAGAGCTCACAAATGAGGCCACAGACAGAAGAAAGAGGGGCTCTTTCTTCAGCCGCTCCAGTAAAAACAGTACTGGTTATGTTCTGTAGAGCAGACATTCTTCTGCGAAACTGCACTAATGTGTGGATGAAATGTGGACAACAACAAACCAAAATGTGTATGCTTAGCAGCAAGCAATAGTTCTTAGTCAGGCAACTACTTAGCCTAAACACACTTATTATCATGGTGTCTTTCATAAGTGAACCAGGGGGAGAGCATGAACGATTTTCTCACTACCATAAATTCTGCAACCAAGATTGCCATATTTGGGGAATTCGCAGAGGTCAGCTAGCCAGAGTGCAATGGCTGGGCCACCCACCTCAAATAGGTGAGTGAGCCACCTATTTCATCATATTATCTTCCTGCCAGGTAAGTATGAATTGAGATGGGTAGAGTTGAGGGCCTGATTTCCAGATGCAGCACTCTGGCTGATGGTGCCTACAATTCATAATTCCAGAGTCTAACCCCAGCAGCGACTGCATCAAAGCACAAATGCTGTCACTAAAAATTGTCTTGCAGACTGTGTTCTTCCACCAGTAATAACCCTGGTTGAGTATTTAATGTATAGCGCCAAGGTTTTACACAAAAAAAGAGCATCAGACCCAACATCAGACAATTCATTATGTTCACTCTCGCAGGTTATGCCCAGTTCCCCATTTTCATCAGAATGTTCCAGCTTAATTTCTTAAATGTAATTTTCGAACTAAAAAAAAAAGCGAAATTCTGTTTAATTCCAATGGGGAATTTTTATATTGAAAGTCTGAAAAGTCTGAAGTTACAAATTCAATCTAAATAGCCAGACAATACTGAGATTTTCACGTTGTTTTTTTAATTTAATTTAATTTCTTTCTGTACGTGTCAGTAATTTAGATGAGGCAACAACAAAAAATGCTTCCTTAAAACAGTGTGAAGTCCCAAAGGACAATAATACAACATCCAAAATATATTGGCCTATAGCCAAATACACTGCAGACCACTTTTTGAATTTTTAGTTTTGAAGTTCATTACTTTTGTAATACATAATACAAACATAGCAACTACCATATCTTAAACACTAGCCCAGCTGCAGTGTCTCAAGTAACTTACAGGCTGAAAAAATAAAAAATTATATGGTTAGTGATTAGCGCAGTTCCATGCATGCTGCAAAGTCACTACTGCAAATACCTTTGAATTTAGCAGCAAAACTGAATACTCTTTGAAAAAAGTCACTTGAAATATGTTACAATTCTCCAAAGAAAACAATATTTGGACTTTTGCGGGGGGAAGAAAATGCACGGATAGCATTGATGGTACTGGATTCATCCCATAGTGATTCGATTGCAGTGATTTAACTGTGGAAACTCTTTGAACAGCTGTTAGACAAGCATTTAAGCAAGTTTCCTGCGTGGTAAGGTGTGACGTATCACTTCCTGTTTCCTGTCTGCAGCTGACTGTGTGCTTGTGTTTACTGCTGTTTATGGTTCCTTCTCAAATGATATTAAACATTGCCTGTTAGCACAAAATGCTTCTGTACAATCAAATAAATTTGGTTTACTACACAGGCTTGCTCCTAAAGTGCTTGTGTCCAAATCTCCTTCATAAGTCTAATATATATATATAGCTAGCCATGGTGATGGCAGCGTGCAGTGGCCCCTCCAGGAAACAATGTAAGTGAACGTTTTGAGTGTCTTTGCCTATCCCAGATGTTCATTCCGCAAAATTTGCTGCCGGGATACTTTGCTGGGTGTCAGGACAGTGAACGGCGCTGGAATTGTGGCGATCGGTTGTGATTTGGACATACTGTGCCAACACGGAGTTCTGTTGAAGACTACGTCGGCAGTTCCCCGAGAGAGAAGGAAGCGCAAACGATGCAAATGTAAACAAAAGAGGGGGAAGAGAGCCGGGATCCATTCTAGGCTAAAGGCTAACCCCTCCAGACCAGCAGGACCGCCGCTCCTACCCTCCAATGTCCGCTCCCTTGACAACAAGCTGGATGAGATACATTTGCTGAGAGAAATGGCTCCTGTTAGTCATCCCCTGGCAGTTCCCAAGCAGCTGGGAAGCCACGCCGGCTGGGTGACTGTTCGTAGGAAGTACAGTCCCAAATCGAAGCCTGTGGTTCACCATCCACCCCTCCGTTCACATTTCCAAACATTTTTCTCCCCTCAGCAACACACCTGCTGAGAAATACACTTTTGTAATCAGCAGCTCCATAGTCAGAAACGTGAAGTTAGACACCAGCAACAACAGATTACACGTATTTCCTGGGGTCAAAGTGGGCAACGTTCAAACTTATTTGAAACTGCTGGCAAAGGATAATCGTAAATATAGTAAGATTGTAATTCATGTCAGCGGTAATGACATTTGGTTGACGCCATCAGAGGTCTCCAAAATTAATCTTTGTGTAAATCCATAAAAACACTGTTGGACTAATTTTCTCTGGACCCCTGATCAGTGATGACATGTAGAGCCGCATGTCATCATTCAACCGCTGGATGTTGAGGCGATGGCCTCAATGTGGCCTACAAGATAACTGGAAAAGTTTCTGGGGAAAACCTGGTCTTATTCGAAGTGACAGCATACATCCCTCTCTTGATGGCATGGCTCTCATTTCTAGAAATGTCCACTTCAAACTCCAAACCACTGACAGTCAAAGGTTGAGACTAGGAAGCAGAGTTGCCTCTTACACACTTCTCTCCTGCTTCCCAACGAACTAACTGTCTGTGGGCGATTGAATAGAAAGTCTTTGATTCACATACACAGAGAGCTGCTGAGATCCAGGTCAAGGAGTTTGGAGGCCAACCTGTTGGGGACTACTGTGTTAAATGCAGAGCTGTAATCAATAAACAACATTCTCACATGTGTCCTTTTCTGGTTGATGTATATCAAAGACATATGAAGGGCTGTGGCAGTAGCATCTTCTATGGACCTGTCGTCTCTGTAAGCATACTGGTGCCGGTCAAGTTCGATGGGAAGCAAGATTTTATGTGTTTTAAGATAAGATAAGACAAGGTCTCTTTTCAACAACAGTCCTGTAATGTAGTTACAACAATGCACTGTGTCTTTAAAAATATGAACACACTTAGAGAAAAATTTGTCTTTCAAAAAAAGATGTTGATGTGGGGATCGATGAGAGCAGCAGACCCAGCACTTTTTTATAAAAGAATAAAGGTAAGGTAAGATAAACGAAGAGTTAATTTGTCTGTTCTGAAGACACAAGACAAAACAAATCAATCATCATCATCACAAATCAAAGATTCCATGATGACTGA